GAATTTGTGCATAGACCTCTACGTGATGTAAATAATTTGCTCATGGGTAATCATATCAAATTCACTTCAGTACTTCTAAGAGCCTTACTGTGTATTCATAAAACTACTTCTGCTAAAACTCTTTAGACAGAGCCCAAGGTGGTAGGGCTTTTAAAAATCTTTAATCCGTAATAGATAGTGTTATTGTAAAGGTCTAGCATATGTATTTAATACTGTGCAATTTGATGAACTAATGCATAGTTGCTATCATAGTGAGTTTTTTTTTGTTTGTTTTTTAACTGTTGTCTTGTTCTATAAGCTATCAAACTCGTAAGAGGACAGGAATTGTAGATGTCTTGTTCACCATTGGATCCTTAATGCCTACAGCCGTAATGGGTGTAAAAAATACCTCTGAGAGACCCCACTTTAATTTCTTTCATATATATACCAAGAAGTAGAATTACTGGATTGTATGATAGTTCTATTAATTTTATAACATCTGGGCGTAGTGGCTAATGCCTATAATCCTGGCACTTTAGGAATTGAGGTGGGAGGATTGTTTGAGGCCAACAGTTCAAGATGAGCCGGGGTATACCATAAGATTCTGTCTCAATGAAACAATTGTAAAAATTAGCCTGATATTGGTAGCTTGCACCTGTAGTCGTAGCTACTCAGAGGCTAAAGCAGGAGGATCCTTGAGCCCAGGAGTTCAGTGTTGCAGTGAGCATTGATCACACCACTGACTGTATTTCAGACTGGGTGACAGAGCAAGACCTTGTCTCAAAAAAAAAAAAAAAAAAAATCTTTTAAGGGACTACTATATGGCTTTCTACAGGGGCTTTACTATTTTGCATTTCAACACTTGTTATTTTCTGCTTTTTTTTTTTTTAATATATAGGCATTCTGAGTGTGAATATAATCAGGACTTCAAAACAAATTAATCAGATCAGGCCTGGTTGCTCATGCCTGTAATCCTAGCACTCTTGGAGGCCGAGGTAGTTGGGTTCCCTCAGCTCAGGAGTTCAAGACCAGCCTGAGTAAGAGTGAGACCCCGTCTCTTCAAATATAGCTGAACGTTGTGGCAGGCACCTGCAGCTACTTGGGAGGCTGAGGCAGGGTGATCACTTGAGTCCAGTTTGAGGTTGCTATAAGCTATGACATCATAGCACTCTACTGAGGGTGACAAAGTGAGACTGTCTCAAAAAACAAAAAAATTAATTCTAAAACAATTAAAAGAAATTAAATTAATTAATTAATTAATTTCTAAAAGAAATTAATTCTAAAACAATAAATTCTCCAGGTTAAATTATAAATTAACAGACTGTGTTTTAAAGGTTGATTTAATATGTGGAATAATTTGCCTTAGCAATTTCTGTGTTATCCTCAGTATCTAAAACAACCTTGACATGATTTTTGAAGCTGGCAAAAACAAACCTACAAGAATGTATTATAAATATGTGTCTGTTGTACAGTAAATAACAGACTTTTTCTAAAATGTGCCTGCATGTGTGCTAGTTTAAATTATTTCAAAAAACTTCTCAAATGGTTTATGAAAGAGGGAAATAAATGATAATAAGAAAGCTCAAGTGTTCCTCATTTCCTTTATGAATCCTGCTTGAGATCTTTATAGAGACAAAGTCTTGTTCTGTTGACCAGAGTAGAGTTCAGTGGTGTAATCTTAGTTCACTGCAGTCTCACCTCTTGGGCTGAGTAATCCTGTTGCCCCTATAGTAGCTATGACCACAGTCCCATGGCTGGTTAATTTAGTTTTTTGATAGACACTGTGGTCTTGTTGTATTGCCCAGGCTAGTCTTAAACTCGTGGCCTCAAGTGATCTTTCCACATGGGACTCCCAAAGTGCTGGGATTACAGGTATGAGCCACCATGCCTAATCTAGAATAATATTTAATAGCAATTTTAAAAAATGTATTTCTGCTACAGTAGCGGTTCACAACCTGTGGTTCCTCACAGGAATCTTATTAAAGGGCCGTGGCATTAGGAAGGTTGAGAACCACTGTGCTAGAATATATGTTCTTCTATCATAGCTAAATAAAAAGATGAAATCCTGCTTTATTTCCTACTAATAAAATTAGGTAAATCCTAGCATTCTTTTCATGAAAAAATTGTAGTGTTGTTAAATCACTAAATACTATTGACAGGAATTAAAAATTACTTTTCTCTATAATGCTGGGAGACATTCAAGCTCCAGTTCATTGAATATACTTATAGTAGTACTAGTTTAAGTTAAACAATGTAATATTAGCTAGTGAGTAGACAAATTAAGATATTAGTGTTTTCTTTTTTTTGGTGATCTCATGATGTAGAATATGAGTACAAAATTGTCATTTATGCCTTGGGATGGTGGCCTGTGTAAACTGTTGCATTGACACCCTATACCCTCTGACTGGATTGAGTTTGGCTGTTGGGCAGCATTGGTAGGAGATTCTGAGGCAGGGAGAAGAGTCTTTCTCTGAGGGTTACATATGTCCTTTGACTAAAAGGCACAGCAGCTATCTGATAGCCCTCTCCATACTATATGAAACAAAAGTTGAAAGAGCCCTTTGGGTTTGTGAGTTCCAGTAATTACTCCCTCTTTAACATTCTTTAAAACCTCCCAGTAGCAGTGCAAATTGCTATTATTAGCCAAGAAGTACTGTACTCTGTTGATTTCCCTACTCCCTGCAAGTACCTTTGAAAATAATCCCTTTATTAAACTCTACTCAGATTTCCCAATTTGATGTGCTGTTTGTTTCCCGTTGGGATCCTGACTAAAATAACTACTGATGTATTTTTAATCATTATCCTAATTGATACACCAGATAAGCCCTAATAATACTTATGCTGATTTGTTTGGTGGCAATAACTGAGTGTTTGCAGAACTATTCTTTTCTTGAAGTATATGTCATCTGGTGTGTTGTTAAGGGGAAAAACTGTGTTAGGTGATCTATAAGAGGCTAGTAATAATAATAATTTACTTAACTTATAGACCTTAAAATGCTGTTTTACTCTAAATGGTTCCTCTTTTCTCTAAAAGAGATTAGTGATTTGATTCTCTAATAAATTATCAGTATCCTTTTGTATCAGTAAGGCTCGTTGATACGTCTTTGGAGAAGGATACCTTAAAACATGCAAGAAATATAATTTGGCTAATCTATGAATAATTCTGAGAAAGTTCTAGATATAGTATTTTGACTGTATAATATTGTCATCTTTATATATTATGTCTCTTTTCAATTAATAAAGATAATTGGAAGATAACCATTTTACGAACCATGTTTCCCCAAAATAAGACGTACCCAAAAAATAAGCCCTAGCAGGATTTCTATGCATTTGTTAAATATAAGCCCTACCGCGATAATAAGATTTAGTGATGAGCATGGCTATGCAGCGTATCTGCACGCCATGCATTTCGGTGCAGATGGTAAGGAAGACTGGAATACCTTTTATCTGCCACAGCTCCTTTCTCCAAGCCATTGGCCCTTGCCCAGGTATACATGTGGTAACCGCCGTTGCAGACATCCTATTGCTCACATGCCAATGGCTAGGGGAAAGGAGTTCACGCATCACTAACACCAGCCCCACCAACAAGGTCGGCTCCCCCTGTTAGGTTCCAGAAAAGGATGACTTAACTGTATTTGAATAAATGTAGATGTAAAAATAAGACATCCCCCTGAAAATAAGCCCTAGTGTGTCTTCTTGAGAAAAAAATAAATATAAGACAGTGTCTTATTTTGGGGGAAACACGGTAGTCACTCAAAAGACTCAGGCTTAAATACTGAGTTTGTATAAGTGCAACTTAATTTTTTATTTCAGTAAGTCTAGAAACTGCTAGTAAGGTTAAATCTAAGTTAATTCAGGGTTCAGAATTAATCTGTAAAAGAAGCTTTAATTAGAACATCTATACTAATAGCAAAATAATTTGTAAAGTGTGACAGAATATTACTCTTGTTTTTTGGACTCCTTTTCTTAGAATTTCTCCTTTTATTTGCCTTGTTGACATTCTAACTCCAAGCCACTTGTAAGTACTGTGTGGGGATCAGTATTACCTGGGAGTAAAAATCTCAGGTCACAGGCCAGACTATTGAACCACAACCTACACTTTAGCATAAGATTCCCTAGATGGTGAGTAGACACATTAGAATTTGAAAAGCACTCTAACCAGTTCCTGCCATTGGATCTCACTGGATTAAAACTAAGTTGTTGAGTGTTAAAGCTGAGGTAATTTATTGATCACTTAATCAGAGGTAAAGATACTAATTGAGTTTACACATTGCCTTTTATTTCTAAGTACAGAGAAGCTAGAACATTTTTTTGTAATCACATGGAACGAAGTTTTCCCATAATTTAAACTTGAGTTGATTGCTTGTCAAGTATAGAGTTTCATCTCTCTAAGGTAAACTTGGGTATGTTGCTTCATCAAGCATTCCATTGGGGTCACAGACCTGATTGTATCATGGAGTTTATAGTTTTAGAACATAATTTATGTGGTGTAGTCTAGAAAAGGAAATTACTTTCATGTGTTATTATTAATGTCATAGGGCTTAAGTGATTCTCTTGCCTCAGCCTCCCAAGTGGCTGTGACTACATGTGCCCACCACAGTGCCCAGCTATGTTTTGTTGCAGTTGTCATTGTTGTTTAGCTGGCCTGGGCTGGTATATGTGGCTGAAACCATAACCACTGTGCTAGGGGCGCTGAGCCTGCTTCTAACATTTTTAGAGGGACTTTCAAATTAAGGTAGGATAATTAATGAGGATATCAAGGGTACAGAACAGTTTGATATAGTTGATACATTTAGTGTTTCCCTCAAGCTGTGACAGTTTGTAATAAGATCAAATTTTATTTTATAATTTAAACTCAAAAGGTCAATATAATTTACTCATTTAATAGAATTTGCTGAATAGCAGCTAAGTTGTTAATTGTTCTATGGGAAAAAAGCAGTCTTGGCCCTTCTATCTTGGGAATGTGTTTCATAATAGTTTCAGATCATTTTGAATATATTTTTCCCTTTTCATTCTTTCAGATTCATCAGGATTCATTTTTGATTTGCAGTCCAATACTGTACTGGCTCAGGGAGGAGCTTTCGAGAACATGAAAGAGAAGGTAAGACTAGTCATTATGGATAGTAAACTTGAATGTCATAGGAAAATTATGGCTATCACCAACTCATTATGAAACTGAGTTTTAAAAATAATACATTGCCACCATGTAAGAGTGGTAATTATAAAGGTTCTGAGGAATCAGTAAAGTACAAACATGATTTCCTTTATGTATATCCCTATGTATTCATTCTAAATTCTCTTGAAGATACTTTAAGCAATATTTATATGGCTGAGTTTGTTTCTCATTTGGCAACATTATTTGAGAACAGTCTGAGTAAGATACTCTCATTCACTTGAAGAGCATTAAAGATCCTTGGAGATCTTTATTTATTTTTATTGAGACAGAGTCTCACCTTGTTACCTTTGGTAGAATGTGTGATGTCAGAACTCACAGCAACCACAAACTCTTGGGCTCAAGCGATTCTACAGAGCATTCCTTCAGAAGAAAGTAGGTATTTTTAGAAACATAACAGTGAACTATATTGAGAAAAACATAAAAGCTTTATATATACCTTCTGTCTTTCTAAAAGAAAGTATATTGTCATAAATAGGCAGTGATTCAGTAATATAAACACTCACATTTTAAATTATCAGAATTTTACCTTTGGGATCTTTAAGTTTTGCCTAAAGTTCAATTTTTAGGCATCAATGGTAAGGGGTTTTTTTTAGGGGGGGGAGCACTGAGACAGGGTCTGGCTCCGTCACCCAGGCTGGAAGCAGTAGTGTCAGCATTAGGGTATCTAGTTTAGAGAACAATTTGGCATTATCTAATGAAATTGCAGATGCCCTACTATCCAGGAATTCTACTAGTAATTATATAAAACAGACATATTCACTGTTCACAGAAGACTCAATTTTTTTTATGGCTTACAATGTTCTAAACATTGTTTTAAGGACTGAGGATTTAGCAGCAAATAAGCATAAAAATGTTCATTATAGCATTGTTCATAATAACCAAACACTGAAAACAATATAAGTGCCCATCAATAGGAGAGTGAATAAATTTGATATATCATACAACAGAAATACTTAAATGAGTGAGATACATTTATCAATGTGGAAAAAATAAAAAAAAAACCAATGCTGTTTGAAAAAAGCAAATCAAAGATAAACAGTGTGAGGGCAGTGCCTGTGGCTCAGTGGGTTGGACACCGGCCCCATATACCAAGGGTGGCAGGTTCAAACCCAGCCCCGGCCAAACTGCAATTAAAAAAAAAGAAAATAGCCAGGCATTGTGGTGGGTGCCT